AATGTTCAAAATGTTTACTTAGAACCGACTATTGAAAAATAGTCTTTATGTAATTTACATAATGATTGGAATTTGACGAACCATTCAATCACAAATAATTTGCTAAAGTAATACAAAGTGAGACTTTATTGCTAAACTAGTATAAAGAGCGAATTTAATTATTCGAATTATTTGATATGTCAATCAGCAATATCATTGAAAGCTGACTTTATTCTGTAAAAAAACTGCATGAAATAGATATGTAAAATTATTGATAAAATTTGCATAATTCTGCAGTTTTAAAACTTATGTGATAGTCACCTAGCTAAACGGTCGTTCAGTTTCTAAATTGCTGTTGCAGAGGAAGCATACACAAGTTCCTTGGTGCTTGAGTGATTGCATTGAAAAAGTAATTATCACTTGACATCCTTATTTATTACAATTCTGATCAAAAAATTATAGAATTAAATGTCGTTCATGTTTTCAGTAATATTATTTTGTCAAAGAATAGACCTTTGACTTTTGCATGTTTACAACCTCTTCTATAAAAAGTCAATAGAAAAATCTAAGCACATCTATTTTTCGTCTACATACTTACCTATTGACATACATCCTTCTTTTGCTCTCCCTATTTAATTTACACTAAGTGTGAAATTGTACCTTCAATTGTACATTATTCCTTCAATTGTACATTAACTGATAACCTTTTATATATCTAATTCGTTGAATGCAATATTCATTTTAAAAAAAGTTTTTTTTTTCTTTTTTTATATATGAATATGAATTTTTAAAACCTGTATAAATATTGGACAATCTTTTTTTTTATCACAAGCACTTTATTATTCCAGCATTACATATCATTTCTCATTATATTTAAAACCTTAAAAGATTAATCATTGTTATTCTAGAATATTTTAGAAATGATAATACAAGTTTAAAAATGACGTAATTTATAGAATGAATAAAATTTAAATCAAGTTTGGAAAGAGATCAGCATGAACTGTTGTATGAATTTTTTTAATGTTTATTATTAATGATTTGAATGGATAAATGTGTACAAATTTTGAGAATTTAAATAGTTCACTTCTGTTTGTTATATTAAAGTATACACCCAGCATAAAATGCACATATGGTTGCCGTTATTAAAAAGATGCTTTATTGAACAAGCTAACTATCTTGCAGAGCTAACTTCATCCAAACAATTTCCAATCTCGACTAGTCAGCTTCCTCCTCTTTTTCTCTGCATCCTTATTTTGTTTCTTATTTTCGATAAATTATCCATCTAAAAATTCAAATCCTATCCATCTCTTTCATACTTCGCTCGATGCTCTCTTCTGATAACGTATAACACGTCTGCATGCTCGAGCACGGCTCTCATTTCATTTACTTTAAGTTTGTCTAATAAAATCTCTACCACATTCCTGTAAAATGCATGTACCACTTATGAAGAACTTTTATTGATAATTTTATAATCATTCATTATCAATCCATTCATAAGCTATTTATGTGTAAGTTTTATTTGAATTTTAGTTAATCTAAATTTTACAGGATTTGATACAATTTTTTTATCTTCCGAAAGTTTGCTATTGTTATTATCAGCAGAAGAAAGGAAAAGAAAGAAAGGAGAAAAAGAAAAGAAAAAAAGGGCGCAATTGAAATTAGGCAGCAGACGTAATGAGTGCTAGAAGCGTGCGAACTCTCATACGGAATTCTTCCGCACTACTTAGTATTGCTTGTAAGTTATTGTCATTTTGTTCAAATAAATTTGAGAGTATTCCTATACGTTAGCTGAAGGTCAAAAGTTAATCTTTAATACAATTATTGATTTATGTATATACGTATATTTTTTTATATTGCGTTGCAATCTCTCTAAAACATACTAGCACGTTGTGCAATATTTTTTTGCAAAATTTTGTGCATATATTTGAGGAGAAATAAATCAGAGAGGCTTGCAAAACAAGTACACACAAGAATTAATTGCGGAATTTTTTTAACATGAAAAGTTACTGAATGTAGGAAGGTGTTTGCAATTGTCGGTTGGTACAAACAATTAATTTATCCTTCGTGCATTTCCGGCGGTAATTTTTTTTTAAAACATACAAGATAGTTTTGTCGTTTTTCTTTCGTCATAAAAGAACAATTGGAAAAAAAATAAGAAATTATTAATTCTGAACTTTGATCGCAATTATTCACTTATTCCAAGGATAAAAGAGAAGCGAAAACATTTTTCTTCAAATGCCGATTCAAAAGTAATATTTTCGAAATGGTATCATTCACTGAAAGACAACGCTGAAAATTTGCTTTGAAGTTTAGAAGATTAACAAATTATGCTAAGTACTAAATCGTCCAATTTTTTTTTGAACATTCTGACAATTTAACGCTTTTCTCCTGAAAACAAACAAATGATTTTTTTCTTAAAATATTTGTTTAAATTTATGAGATATGATATCAGATTATCTTTTAGCAATAATATATGTTCTAAAGTATGTTTTTAAAGAAAGCTGCAATAGTCAAGAGAACAAACTCAATGAAAAAAAATCAAAATTTTTAATACTTCTTTCTATAAAAAAATAACGAAAATTGACTTCAAAGAGTAGGTCACAAACAAAATTTATTTCTTATTTTTAAAGCCTCCAATAATTCTAGGAAGAAAGGCAGAATTCTATAATAATACAAGTTTGAGTCCTTACACATTTTATTAGATATATATGGCCACCAAATAGCAAACCTAAAAAAAAAGATTGCTTTCATGTTAAAATGAAATTGCTGTAATTTTTCACCCTAACATTGACACATATGAACTGTTTTTTTTGAATTGATTCACTTGCACTATGGTTTTTGTAATCCTCTACTTAATTCTTTTAAATTAATAAAATATAGTTTATGATTTTTTATGGTACATAATTAATCTTGTGGAATCTACTTTTAGATGAATATGGACGACCATTTCCCTTTACTTTTCTTCAAAAACGTCACATTCGACATTCAATTCGTGACGACCAGGTATTCGCGAATCGTCCTACACAAACACTTGCACCTATAAGATCTCAAAAAAAAGTTTGTTTATTTAAGGTTCCGATTCATTGTTTCTATTTATTTGTTTTGAATTTTGAAGTCTGTCCTGAGATTGGTTGAATACATTTTGAATATTTACAGAAAAATTCTGCTAATATCACTTTGCTAAAAAAAATTGCATGGCTCATGAAAAATTCAAATTTCAACGGCTCAGTTTTCATTCCGGCGTGAGAATTGAATGACTCATGAAAGTGTTATGAGAGACTGATTCCGGAATGATGCAAATGCAACTGTAGTAAAACAATATTAGCTTGACTTGCGCATGATAATTATAGCACAATTAAACTGCCAAAAAAAAATTAGTCCAGTAATTTTGAGTTTAGAATAATTTTGCTCGGTGTTAGGTAACACTAAGGTAATCTTGATTATACAAGTACCTTAAACGATAAAGTAGTAATAGTGATACTTGCGCACAGTAGTTTATAGTTATTTGAAATAAAATAAGCTAAGACTAGTTTGAAATAATTGGATTCCTCTTTCAGAAAAAAGCTTCACTTGTGATTTTCGACAAAGATGGCACTTTGATTTGCTTTCATTCTACATGGGTTCCATGGGCAATAAATGTGGCCAAGAAGTGATTTCTGATTTTATTTGAATAGTTTAAATTATTTGATTGTAGCAAAAAATTTAAAGGAAAAAAACAGATTATAATTGATATATTATAGAATAAGTGAATCAACAAAGATGAACATTGAACAGGAAATATATTCACTGTTGGGACTGCATGAGATGGAACAACGCGTACAGTCTGGACTTCTCGCTGAAGGAACTATGGCGCAGATACGTGATGCCATTGCGCGCTTGCTAATTAATCGCGGAATTGAAGCTGCTGAAGTTCTTAAAGTCTATTTTTATTTTTCTTGCCAAAATATCTTTCTTCTTCTATAAAAAATGAGTTTTGTAAGTGGAGTTTGTCCATTTTTCAGCTAGACAAAAATCGATTTCACTCTGATTTTGTTTTTTTGCTATTAAATTTATAATATCCATTGATTTGGTTATCAATCGTGACTTCAACCGCTTGAGTGACATGCTAAAACATGTAAGTGTATAATTGCAGCATGTTATGGCAGCAATCTTAGAAGCAAATGAAGCTAGTGGTCACAATGTCAAAGAAATTTTTAATTTACGTTTATTATTTCAACAACTACGAGATCACGGAATAAAAATAGCCGTTTGTACTTCAGACAGTCGGTGAGCTTTCACAGCGCTTAAATTTTTTAAAATTTATTGAAGACAGAGAAAATAAAAAGTAATTATTGCTGATGATTGATTATTTACTTCTTTCTGCTCATCCAACTCTTTTAAAATTACCGCTAGTTCCCTGATTCAGTTTGTTCCTACAAGCCTTAACTTTACGATTTTTGCAATATTAAAAAAATGCCTCAATAATGTTTCCAATTTTGACTCATCTTCAAAGCTTTTATTTGTCAAATCCAGGCAAGATTTTTCCAGAAAAGGGACATTGAATACATTACGACATTTACAACTGGAAGATCATATTGATATGGTGGTGTGTGGTGACGATGCTGGCTCAATACCAAAGCCGCATCCTCATAACGCACTTTCCATATGTCGTATGTTGGATGTCGATCCACAAGTAAGCTTCATAGAAATTAAAGGTTCACAAGGAGTGTTTATTCATTTCGTCTTCCATTCTTTCTTTCAATGAAAAAATTTCCGTTGCAGATTTTTTAACACTAATTTACTAGAATTATAATAATGTGAACTAAACTGCTTATAATTATTCAATATTGTAAGATCTGATTGCTCTATGATGATATATAGCAACTGAGTTCATATGCTGCTCACAAAACTGTTCTTCAGGACACACTTGTGGTGGGCGATACCTTGGCCGATATGGGCATGGGACGTTCTGCTAATCTTGGTAGTACTGTTGGCGTGCTTTCTGGAGTATGTAATATCAATGAACTGCGACCACAGGCTGATCATATTGTGAGCATATGCCTTATCTATGTTTAGCCAATTCTTTAAAATCCATTTTGTAAATCAATGTCGCATCAATGAATTCGTCGAATGTTTCGACATAAGAGAACTTCATGAATATGCAAGTTGAAAACTGTGCTCTGAATATGACTTTGCAGTAACAGTTGAAAATGTTGAATTGCTCCGATTACCAACTAAGGGATTATTCATTCAATTATTTTAGGTCCATGATGTTGGCGAGCTGTTACCCATTGTGCTGGATATGAGAAGATGGTCGTTATCATGAGTACTGATATCCGTCTTTGATAGTTCTTCAATAAATTCTTCCACAATTTTTCTTTCATCAATTAAAAGCTTTCTAACTACACTACATCGAAAATTCGTTAGAACTTGTTTTGAGCAATTTATTTATTTCGTTATCAATGCAGTCATGACATATAGAAATCATCATCACCACTATCACCTTATCAGCAATACCGTCGGTATTATCGCTATTATCATCATTGTATACAGCAATGTATCATTATAATTTTGATATGATACTGATACTATTTATTTTCTTGAGGAGCATTTTGAATTGATAAAACCTCACCATTTTATGTGAATATTACTGAAATATCTTGCTATGCCATGATACTTAATTTCTATATTTTTCCTAAATTGTTGGTTTAATTCATTCCCCTGAATGAAAATCATTTGCTTATTAGAGATGACCATTTATTGCTAAAAATAATTGTAATAATTATGTACCAAATCAAATTATTTTGCAATAGTTATAATAAATTTTTCTTTTGTTACCTAGCATTCAGGCTTTATTTTCCGCACGTGAAGAATTACTGAAGAACTAGTTTTACAATAGCTAGTACAATAATTGTGTTTTCCGGCAATGCATTTCATGCAATTCTTGGACACTGAAATTCTTGGACATTTTCTTGCTCGTTGTAATGAATTAGTCGTTTATACGTGATATAAGCTCTCATTCAATCCCAAATATACAATATATTTAAAAATCTATTTGAAAATATGATTCCAATTTTTTTTATAACTTATACATTTTTAAATTGAGTGAGTTTTAAATCCTTTAAAATTTTTTCTTATTTCTTTATAGGATAAAAGTTGAAGTTCAGCATCATATATTTACTTGCTCACAAATGACAAACTTCCCATTGGTTTTACAATTTTCGAATTCATACTATCGTCTACCAACTATAGCGACCGACAATTTTGTTGACGGATTTTCCTGTGAGATTTTTGCATTTGAGATTTCAGTTTTTATATCGTACAAAAGATTCAGTCATAAACTTTACAAATTGAAGTTTTATAAGCAAGCATCAGATAAATTAAATCTTTGAATGAAAATAGTATACAGTATAAGAAAATATCTTGAATGATATCGTTCAGGAGCAAACAAATGCTTGAAACTCGAAGTCTATATAAATTTAAAGTTTCATGATTCTGGTTAGCGCAGCAGTTATCTCAATAAAGTTATCATATTCCCGGTTAGTTTACTAATTAGATGCTTGATCCTACTTTTCCCTCCTTTTTTCCTTCTTCCGGGATAGATTCAGTGATAATGGGAACTGCAGTGCCAAGATAATTATCTTCTGTTTTTATCTGAACTACATTTCTGTTATCACTTCCTAAAACCGCTACAGATCGCAATGAATAAAACAATTAAACAAAGTATCATAAAAAGTGCAAAAATTTCCGATGTAAATAAATTTTAATTTGAAAATATTTCCAGTAATGTAGTGTTATTTTTTGGAACTCTTTATAATACAAACATGTTGTATACACAATCAAAACACAGGTGACATCCAATTAAAACGATAATGCACAAAAAAGTAGTTCAAGAGTATTTTGATCTTAAAAGTTTCTTAATTGAAGGAAAAAAAGCTAAAAATAGAAGGGATCAGTGCAAAAAAAGGAATTAGCTACAAACAGACTGCAAACGTTACTAAGTTAATTTGACCCTTTTCATTACTTAAATTTCCTATGTTACAGAAAAAAAAGTTCAAATCAACTTGAAATCTAGCAGTTTTTATTTCTTCATTAAATAATGTTAAACGTCCAAATATCTCACGTCTATAGGATTTGAAAAATTCCGCAGTTCCTCTCAGAAGAAATTCCGGAGACAAGTGAATCAATTAGATTCATTCACAGTTTGGTCCACAATACTAAGTAGCCAAGCTACTAAGTTATTTCACTGC